AGCCCTCATGAATAGGGTTAGTGCCCAACACTTCAGAGACAATTTCTATTTTTTAATAATTTTTATTTATTTATTTATTGGTTGTACTAGGTCTTTGTTGCTGTGTGGGCAGCTAGTGGGGACTACTCTCTAGCTGCAGTGCTCAGGCTTCTCATTGCAGTGGCTTCTTTTGTTGCTGAGCGCAGGCTCTAGGGTACACAGGCTTCAGTAGTTACGGCATGAGGGCTCAGCAGTTGTGGTTCTCAGGCTGTGCAGCACGGGCTTACTAGTTGCGGCCCTCAGGCTTAGTCGTTCCCTGGCATGTGGGATCATCCCAGATCAGGGATCAAACCCTTGTCTCCTGCATTGACAGGTGGATTCTTTACCACTGAGACACCAGGGAAGCCCCGTTCACCAGCTTTATAGATTAGGATCTGGATATCTTTGAGAGCCGTTCGGCCTTCTGCAATCTTAGGAGGAAAAAAAATCATCCAAGTTATTTATTCTAGCATTCATCTATCTACAACTATATTTCCACCCACTCTTTTCATATGTTTCTTCCCACTCCTAGTACTGTTTTCTCTTTATTCACATTTTAGCTATTTTAATGGATTGTCCAACAAGTTCAAGATTTTAAGTCTTCTTTTACAAGTGCCTGCATTGATCACTTCAAGCAATAGAGATATGTTCCTCTCTTAAGGTACGATCTTATTAGCCTATATCCAGGTACACATTTCTTTCATTATGCTTTTTTCCCACAGTAGCTGGTATAATGCCTTACGTATGAATGTTTCTCAATTGCTTGCCTGTAAATACATTTTACTCATTAACCATTCTATTATTACTGTGCTTCTATAACAGGCCATCTCAAATAATGTCATCACATTTCTCCCCACTGGGTCCAAAGGTCTACTCAGCCACTCTAGGCCTACATGAACATACCTTCACTTTTATAATTAATTTACAAGTGACTGCCTGACTTGAAGACTAAAACTAGAAAATAAAAAAAATACAATGAATGTATTTTTGAACTGTGATTAAATTTACATCAATGTAATTTGCCACACATTAAGTGATGTTCATAGCCGTTATCATGTGTGTGTGCTTAGTTGTGTCTGACTCTGCAAACCCCATGAACTATAGCCTGTCCGACTCCTCTGTCCATGGGATTTCCCAGGCAAGAATACTGGAGTGGGTTGCTCTTTTCTCCTCTAGGAGATCTTCCTCACCCAGGGATTGAAACTGCATCTCCTGTGTCTCCTGTATTGACAGGTATATTCTCCACCACTGAGCCACCTGGGAAGCCCCGCTATTATCATCAGTTCAGTTCAGTTCAGTCGCTCAGCCGTGTCTGACTCTTTGCGATCTCATGGACTGCAGCTCGCCAGGCCTCCCTGTCCATCACCAACTCCTGGAGTTTACCCAAACTCATGTCCATTGAGCCGGTGATGCCATCCAACCATCTCATCCTCTGTTGTCCCCGTCTCCTCCTGCCCTCAATCTTTCCCAGCATCAGGGTCTTTTCAAATGAGTCAGCTGTTATCATAGTGCCTGGTAAATAGGCCCCAAAGGAAGCAACTCATAAAAATGTTAACAATGAATATGATTTTTATAAAGACAGCTGAGCAATTTCAGAATTTTCTAAAGGAAGACAAGAGAGGCCTGCTCCAAAGCAGGCCTGGGAGCGATTCAGAGGCACTCCTCTCAAAGGGTTGGATGTGTTCCCAGAGGGAGTTCAGCAATCCGCACTGTTCTTGTCCTTTTCCACCTGGGCAACTCAGGGCTATGTGTTCCATGAGCTTTGGATGAACAGGTTGCTCCACTGGGGTTAAAGCCAGGCCAGATTGAATATTGGCCTGGCTCTAGAAATCTGTCCAACTCGTCACTCTCTATCTGAACAGTGACTTTGAATACAAGACACACACAGAAGAAAACATAGAGTTAAGTGGTGCAAAGCCTGGCAGCCAGATAAGCAGAAGACACACAGGTCATAAAAGGGAGAAGGAAAGTTGAGGTCACAATCTGATCAACAGAAGAAAACATGAAAGGTAGGTGAGGAAGGGACAGAAGATGAAAGGTAGAAGTAAGAGTCATTACTCTTTGTGGAGGTGTGTTTTGGAGCCCATTTTCCCAACTTTGCTCCCCCATTACTTCCACTGACAGACTCTGCCTCCCGTGCCCAGCAGAGCTCTCAGAAAGGGCAGTGAATGTGGCAGGACAAAGAGCTCAGCCCACAGTCCTATCACGAAGAACACAGGATTCTTGGAACAGCCTGAGCTGGGGAGACAAGGAGAGAACACGCCAGCAGCATAGCCTGCAGCTCTCACGTGCCCAGGGCTCTGCCAGCTTACCTGGCCCTGCTCTCTGACCTTATGCAAGACAAGCCCCACGGTCTACTCAAACTCGCCCATGAGGTCCCACACTCAAAGTCATCAGAGCAACTCCAGTCTTATCTCTAATACACAGAACTCAATTGTTCTGCATTGAGGCCCAGGGATTTGTATTTAATATCAGTTCCTTAAGTTTTAAAATGTGTTAGGGTAAAGCTAAGAGGATGGAATGGAATCTCAAAGTACAGTGGATTTTTCTCTCATATATCAGACCCAAGTTGAACAATCCAGGTTGCCAAATAACTCTGCCTCACACAATTGTTTGGGCACATGGGCTTTTGCTCCCCTTTCTCTGTGGCTATTCCTTGAACAAATCGTCATCTACATCAGCAGTCTCAACCTTTTTGGTACCAGGGACTGGTTTTGTGAAAGATAATTTTTCCACAGACAAAGGCAGGGGGCTGGGGGTGGGAGTGGAGCAGGGGCCCTTGTGGTTTGGAAGCAGAAAAGGAACATGATGAAAATTTAATGTTGTAGAATCTGAAATCCTCTGCCTCTTGTCACCATTAGGGATCTTCAGATGCTATCGTGTTGAAGGGGTGACTGACTTTGAGGGTGAGGAATGCTAGCACTCGGAAGGTCTGACAGTCTATGGAATCTTCACATTTGACATTTTTCAGACTTCATAGTTTGATGATTAGGTAGATTTTGGGAGATCAAAGCACCAAAGACTTGGAACCAAGAGCTCCTGATTTCTTCCAAGAACTGGAAAGGTTTGTTCTTAATTAAGGCCCTTTAGAAAATGCTCCTGACCTGGAAAGTGGTATCTGTTCTGCCGAGTCATTGTTCTTAGTTCCTGGTAAAGGAAGAAATCTGTAATAGATTCTGAACTAGGCTGAATTTACTTTTTCTTGTTGTTGTTTAGTCGCTAAGTCATGTCCGATTCTTTGCGACCTCGTGAACTGTAGCCTACCAGGCTCCTCTGTCCATGGGATTCTCCAGACAAGAATACTGAAGCAGTTTGCCATTTCCTTCTCCAGGGGACCATCCCAACCCAGGGATCGAACTGATGTCTCCTGCATTGGCAGGCAGATTCTTTACCACTGAGCCACAAGAGACACCTTACTTTTTCTTACATATTACCAAAAAACTCTCTCAGAGCTAGTATAGTTATTGTCTCCGGGGCTAAATATGTCCACCTCCCAGAGCTGAACTCTATAGGAGGAAAGAAGTTACTCAAATTTGAACCAAGTTTGAGCCAAGGGGAGACCTACTAGACTGCTCCACTACAGACAGAGCCCATCTCATGTTTGGTGAGTGGGTGGTAGCTCCAGCCTGGCTACATGGAACTAGCCCTAGAATGGAACCCAGTGATATGGCTCCCTTCCAGGGCCACCCACACCTCTCCTCCCACAGAGAAGAGGATCTCAAACTCCAGGCACTTTTATAAGTTTCTTCTCCAGCTGCCAAGTGAAAAATAATTGCTGATAACATAACTATCAGTATTTGGCCAAGACCATAGTGATTGTTTATTTAAGCAGCTATCATACTGACAAGGAAAATTCAGCTAAAAGATATAAAAACATCTGCCCTAATGTTGCATATTGGTTGATTGTCAGAGTTTTGCAGTTTCAGTATAATGAGAATTCTGTACCAGATATGAAAAACATTAGGAAAATTTATAGAAAGAGTGAGGTACAACATTCTATTTTCATGCATTTATTTAAAATTAGGACATTGAAGATGCTTTTTTGGGTATGCCAGTCTGCTGCCTTCCCAGTCTGCCAGCTTTCTGAATAAAGTCACTATTCCTTGCCTTAAAATAAAATTAGGACATTAAAAAGAGTCTCAGGATAGAGGGAGGATGTATGATGAGGAATCAAGAATGCATACACACACATTTATGAACAAGATAACTGTCCAATTTTATGTAGAGTGTTGAACCATAAAGATTTACAAATAGACTTGGCATAGACTTGCTATTTCCCATCTTTCTACCTCCTTTATCCCCCCATGGCTTGCCATTCCTCTCCCAGGGCCCCTGGAAATCAAGACTATGCTTGAGTAAAAATTACAATGGAAGCTTTTTTTTTTCTCTCTGTAGCAACTTGTGAAATAGATAGGGGAAAAGATGGAGGAATGGCAATTGAATAGGGCTAGAGCTGTTGACTGAAGGCAACAGCTAAACCAAAGGATCTTTTCTTTTGGCATCTTTTAGATGCAGGCAGATCCCATGGCTACATAGGTGGGCACTCACACTTCTGTGCATGCATCAACATACATTTTCTTTGAAGAGAAGCAATGATAATAATATCCCCCTGTCATTCACTATTTCTCTGAATCATCTCAGTGGCAGTACAGTTACCTTTCAATACTCTGTACTGGTTTGGAGCCTTCTCTCCTTAATTTTGTCAAGTTGGGTAAACTCTGCTTATTGGCTTTATAGCTGAGTGAGGATGGAATTCAGTTTGGTTCAGAGAAAGTTTGTACATGCATATATGTATATGGGAGAGAGAAAGCGAGAATGCATCTACACTCCAGCATCAGTTATACACTTCAACTGAATTATCTACAATTGTGGATTTGTTTCATTTCTCCAGTTGCTATAAATAATTAAGAGTTTCCTATAGTGCTGAAAGGATAGATGTGGATAATAGAAAGCAATACCAATAATGAAAAGTTCTGTGGGATTTACAAGTTAGAGATACTAACTAACCAGCTCATCAGAGAATGACTTGTCAGCACTACCAAAATTTTCTTTAATGAAGTAACACCATGGTGTTGGCAACTGGGGGATTGTCTGCCCACAGTGAACTGGCATGTAGTGGTCCTTAGTTCTGGAGTCTCAGAGCAGCTTATGCATGAAGTCTGTCCACACTTGCAGCTGGGGGCTTTGGGGACCCCGTCAACCACTTCCACGGAGCCATGGATGAAGTTATTGCTCAACTTGAATGACCCATTAGCTTCTGAAACTTTTCTCCAGACTGTCATGTCGTTGCAATAATGTTTGTTATTACCTGTATTGCATTTGGGGGGCAAGCTATAATGTAATCTTCTGAAGGTCAATAATGAGGAAGACACATCTTTGGACATGCTGAGGCTGGTGTTTCTATATAACACAGTCAAATTTATTAATACCTCAATGGTCTGTTTTTCCTGGTCACTTTTTGCCATGTCATATTGCACTTCTTTCTCTAAAAATTCTTCTTTAATGATCTCCATTATACTTTCTGAAACTCCTGCAAAAATCACCCCCAGGCCAAGTAGTAGCAGAAAGAAGATCTCCATCTCAGATCTAGGGCAAACTCTTCTGCAGTAAAAACTAAAAGATAAAAATGAAGAAAATATTAAATGAGTAGCTCTCTTTTCCTTATGACATTCCCAGGGTTGACTCCTACATGTAAGCTAAGACACCTACATCTACTAAAGAAAGGATGAGATAGGAAAAAGACAATCAGCTGTGTAGTCTGAAGATCCAACTTCAAACCCCTGTTTATCCAGTAATAAGCAATTTATTTCACCTCATGTAACTAACTTCAGTTTCCTCTTGTGAAAAAAAAGAAAATATGAGAATTATATAAGATAATAAGTTTAAAGTACCCAGAACCAAGTAGTCATTTCTCTTTCTTTTCACCCCATCTATAATCTCACTGGTAAAGTCTGTAATCTCTGCAGTGGGTCCCAATAATCTCATTTAACATATTCCTCACTATTGCTGTGGATCCCCCAGCCTCACACAGTACCTGGTGCATGGCAGGCACGTGAAAAAACCACCATGATATTTTCCCATCTCTCATTTCTTTTCCCACTGATTCTCAGTCATAGAATTTCTGTCTTTACCAGTTCTTTTGGCAAGTTGATCCTGTGGAGAAAGATTCCAGCTTGTTGCAAGGCAGGAAGTGAAATTGTATTCGTTTCCTGGGAGTTTCTCTTACTAGGTCTAACAACGGAAGGGGGTGCAAGAAGGAGAAGGCGGAATTGTCTGCGATAGAAGGAGGAAACAAAGTGGAACCAGTGATGCTCAGAGAACTGAATGCAGTGTCCACTTGGCTGTCAGAATCCCAGTGCCCTTGGGCAGTACCATTGCTTCTTCTCTTGTGAAATCTTCTTTGTTTATTTCCACTTCAACCCAGAGTAATTTTTGTTGTTTTTGAAACCCTACAGCATAGATAACATTGCATTTGATTTTATACATTTTTAAAAATTTTTGAAGTTAGTTGGTACAGTTTTTTCCTTTTTATTCAGTTCAGCTCAGTTCAGTCGCTCAGTCGTGTCCGACTCTTTGCGACCCCATGAATTGCAGCACGCCAGGCCTCCCTGTCCGTCACCAATTCCTGGAGTCTAGAAATTTCTTGAGCCTGGAAAATAGCCTCTGCTTCTTTTCATTCTCTACAGGGAGAATGAAATATATATGTCCTAGTTTCTCACAATGTTTGCCAACAACATAACATGGTTTGCCTACTGTAGAAAGTCCTTTACTTGAGGTCAGTGCTGGAAAATTCACAGTGAGAATCCCAGAAGGAATGGTTATTTGGGGTAATAATTCTTTCTCTTGCTCTATAATGACCATCCCCTTTTTTTCCCTCTTTTTTTGTCTCCCACCTCTAAAAGCCTCCTTCCCTTATATGTGTATCTACTGTATTATCTCCTAATCACTAGTCCTTGCCCCTCCAATTCCTTCAATATGCTACTTTTCTAAAAACACACTTGCAGTGACACTATTTCAGGAACATTGAGATATTTCTCATTGTCTCTTCAAGGTAATCTAATCTTCCGAGTCCACTTGGTCAAAATTATATTTGATCTAATCCCAACCTGCCTCTCAAGGATGATCACCCATTATTTTGGTATACACACCTGTTCCAGTCAAATCAGTGTGACCCACTCTCCTGTGAGTACACCCTATTCTGTCCTGTGTGTGAAATTACAGCAAACACCCAGTACCAAAAATACATGAGCCTTAGTAATTGGGTTGGTTGATTATTGATAGATTATTAAGGATTCAGTGGATGTTTTCATGTGTGTGCCTTGAGCACAGACTTGGTACAGGTTGAAGGGAGGAGGGAAGAAGGATTTGAACTGCTTCCTAAATATCCTCTACCACCACATCAATCAGTTCAGTTCAGTTCAGTACAGTCGCTCAGTCGTGTCCGACTCTTTGCGACCCCGTGAATCGCAGCACGCCAGGCATCCCTGTTCATCACCAACTCCCGGAGTTTACTCAAACACATGTCCATCGAGTTGGTGATGCCATCCAGCCATCTCATCCTCTGTCGTCCCCTTCTCCACCTGCCCCCAATCCCTCCCAGCATCAGGGCTTTTTCCAATGAGTCAACTCTTCGCATGAGGTGGCCAAAGTACTGGAGTTTCAGCTCACATCAATAGTGAGGTGCTAATAGGAAAACAGGAGACAACAAGGATAAAAATTAACAAGAAGAGCAGAACAGAAACACCCAGTTTTTCTAAAACATTTTACATGGGAAGAATTCACAGCCACTTGGGTTTGATTGGGGTTGCTGGTACCTATTTTAAAAAATATGCACCTGACTCCTTTCAAACTACAAATGTCTAAAATGTCACAGTTCATTTGAATTGGGATTTGATCCTTGGAAAATGAAAATACTCCAAGGATAATTACTTACTTTAATGAGAATGCATTATCTGCAAGATTTTGGTTTTAAATACAAAGAAGGAGGTTAGGGGAGAAAGGGAAGGAAAAGTACTGAGAAGGGAAGAAAGGACAATTAAGCCTAGGGAGAGAGGGAGAAAAAGGAATCAGAAATCAGAACATAGAAACATAGGCCTAAAGCATTTCAAAAAAGCAAAAAGCAAAACCTCATTTCAGCTACATTTTCCCAGGAAATGATTCTGCTACCAGGACCCAACCTGTCACACGGTAGGGGCCAGCTATTCCCTCTCAGCATCTGTTCTGACAATGGGGGCTCTGCTTCCCTGGTGACACCCATGCTTTCATAAAGACAAGGACCATGGGATTCATTACTCGCAGAGAAATGAGTAATGGAACTCAGCTGCAAAAGGGCTACCCCAGAGAGGTAAGCCTCTATTTACAAGGTTGCCAAGTATTCTTTACAAATGATTGTCACACCCTTTCCTCCAAAAATGTCACCAGTCTGTTAGAACTTGATGTTTAACAATGACAGAGTTACCAACTAGCATAGGTTGATCTGACCTTGAATTAAGTACAAATAAATAATGGAATAGTTTGAAGTCTCTCAACTGAAAAGATAAGAACAGACCAGGCCCTCTAAAGCTTACGCATTGCCTGTGTTTGCTTTAGCTCAGTGTATGAGTGTCTGGCTCTCACAGGATTAAACTGTCATAGCTCAGATTTAGTGACCCTATAACCTGGCCCTTACTTGCCTATTACCCCTTTTTTTCTTACTACTCCCTATCTCTGACAACTCCAAAAAGATTCTAGATTCCCTAAGAAATAGAATTGTGGAGTAATAGATCTGGCTGCTGCTGCTGCTGCTAAGTCGCTTCAGTCGTGTCCGACCCTGTGTGACCCCATAGACAGCAGCCCGCCAGGCTCTGCCATCCCTGGGATTTTCCAGGCAAGAACAGTGGAGTGGGTTGCCATTTCCTTCTCCAGTGCATGAAAGTGAAAAGTGAAAGTGAAGTCACTCAGTCGTGTCCGACTCTTCGAAACCCCAAGAACTGCAGCCCACCAGGCTCCTCGGTCCATGGGATTTTCCAGGCAAGAGTACTGGAGTGGGGTGCCATTGCCTTCTCCGAATAGACCTGGAAAGAAGCTCAAAGATTATCTAGTTCAATCTCTTCACTTTACAGATGAGGAAACTGATATAGAGGAACAGAACGTAATCAAATCCCCAGAATTAGGCGTCTCTATTTCCCTTCCTTCTCTTCCTTTGTCCTCTCATTTTAAAGACCCTCTGTCCATAGCAAATGAGGAGGAGCTAAACAAACAATCCAGTTGTAAGAACTAAAAGGGGAAAGAATGATTAGTCTGAGTCAAAGTAATCTCTGTTCCTTCTGGGGACACAAAGAGGAAATAGACGGAACCCTGAGAGTCTTGATCCCTCCCTGGGAAATCTTTATCCATTTCTTTCTAGACTTTAAGGGAAATGGTTTCTGACCAATAAGGCTTCTTCTGATCTCCTTTTACTTTCTTTCAAGGCACAGAGGCAGCCATTGAATAAGAGCAGGTACAGCTTGAGTTATACATGTCATTCTTAAAGAAGACCTTAAGAGATGACCCCTACTCCATTTAGGATAAAGTCTAGGATGAGTGTGAGATGAATGAAGTACTCATTCTGCAGGTACAAGCTGTTAAAAGCCCGATAATCAAGATAAACAGTATTTTATTGCAACATTTAAAAATAAATTTAATGCATATGACACAAAAGAACCTATCTATGAAACAGAAACGAGCTTCACAGGTGGCGACAGTGGTAAGGAATCCATCTGCCAATGCAGGAGATGTAAGGGACAAGAGTTCGATCCCTGGGTCGGGAAGATCCCCTGGAGGAGGGCATGGCAACCCGCTACCTTTTCTTACCTGGAGAATCCCATGGACAGAGGAGCCTGGTGAGTTACAGTCCTTAGGGTCACAAAGAGCCCAAAACAACTGAAGCGATTGAGCACACACACATGAATCAGAAACAGACTCACAGACATAGAGAACAAACTTGTGGTTGCCAGAGGGAGGGGACAAGGAAGGGATGGATCGGGAGGATGAGGTTAGCAGCTGCAAGCTATTATATATATTTAGAATGGATAACAACAAGGTCCTACAGTATCAGTCCAGTTGCTCTCTCATGTCCAGGTCTCTGTGACCCCATGGACTGCAGCACGCCAGTCTTCCCTGTCCATTCCCAACTCCCGGAGCTTGCTCACACTCATGTCCATTGAGTCAGTGATGCCATCCAACCATCTCATCCTCTGTCATCCCCTTCTCCTCCTGCCTTCAATCTTTCCCAGAATCAGGGTCTTTTCCAAGGAGTCAGTTCTTTGCATCAGGTGGCCAAAGGATTGGAGCTTCAGCTTCAGCATCAGACTTCCAATGAATATTCAAGACTAATTTCCTTTAGGATTGACTGGTTTGATCTCCTTGCAGTCCAAGGGACTCTCCTATGGTATAGGGAATGATATTCAATATTCTAGGATAAACCTTAATAGAAAAGAATATATGTATAACTGAGTCACTTTTCTATACCGCAGAAAGGACCACAACATTGTAAATCAACTATACTCTAATAAAAACAAAGAAACAAAGAAATAAATTTAATGCAAAATAAACCCTGCTGAACAAATATCAAAATTTTAAGTAATAGTATCTGACCCTACACTGTTATAACTCATGCACCCCACCTCATCCTAAATCCAACCCTGTCAGAATGGGTCTTAATTTAAAATTCAGATATTTTGTTCATCAGAAATTTTTATATTGATCCTTAAAATTTTATTTGATTCTGTGACTCTGGGGATTTTGGTGTTCCTCAAATTTTGGGTGTCAAATGAGTACCTTACTTCCCTTACCTAATTTCAGGCCTGCATAGGATTCACTCTTGGTTCTCATCAAATGACCCACAGAAAAAGGAGAAGGAATTAAAACACATATAGAGTTTATGGTTTAATTCAGCAGATTTTTTTTTTATTGAAGCAGAATAAAAAGATTCCAGCTCAGCAATAGTGGAAGGATAAATGCATTTCACTCTGGGCATGGCCCCATGTCCACAGTGTGCAGGAAAACCAGCAGCAGTGCTTCTGAGAGAGGAGATGAAAGGACGGCAGACTCTGATGCTGGTCTCAGATTATTCAGTGTATCTCTGGATTTTAGATGGCCTCATGTCATCACAAGTGACAACAATAAACCCCTCTGTGGTGAAAACGCGGTAGTTGCAGGCAGGATATCTGGTGCCTTCAATGAGCTTACAGACTGTCATTTTGAACTCAGTTTCACTCAGGAAGCAGAGACCGGGGTTGTGGTTTTGGCAAGGCACCCTCCTGGGAGAATTGCAAACACTGTTGATATTTCGAGGCCTCTCATGGATGAAGAAATGGTCTTTTTTGCAGGTGTTGTTGGGTTCCTTGATGACTCTTTGTATGATTATGTGGTTGCAGTACCTTATCGGAATGTCACTCTGAGGGTAATCCACATGCAACTGCTCTAAAGTTGCTGCCACTGCATCCTCATCCAGCTCATTTTCCCAGAATAGAAGCAGCAAGAAGATTATCACCATTAGTATCATCAGGGGTATGAGATCCTTCACGTGTTTTGGCTTAATTCCTATAAAGGAAGAGAAGACAGCAAATATTGGAGAGTGATCAGATTCCACCAGCCCCATCCACTGACTTTCTCCCCTGTGCGTGCCTGCTCAGTCATGTTCAACTCTTTGCGACCCCATGGACTGTAGCCCACCAGGCTTCTCTGTCCATGGAATTTTCCAGACAAGAATACTGGAATAGGTTGCCATTTTCTACTCCAGGGATCTTCCCGACCCAGGGACTTTCTCCCCTGGCCTTTGATATTTTAATAGCCTTCTCTCTGTTAATAAAAACCATGCTAACCCTGCAATGTTCAGCTAGAGGTACAGCTCCCCAAGAAAGCCCTTTCTGATCATTTTAGCTCTCAGGCTGGCATTGATCAGTTCTCTAATTATTCCTGGGTTTTGGTGGTGGTGGTGGTGGTCTCCATAGCTTCTTAATAGTTGGTATCTCATCACCTGTTTCTCCTGAATCCATCAGAGTGCTTAATACAAAGCAGAACATACAGAAGCTATTAAAAGTACCCCATATCTGATTGTTTTATTCCTATTACTAAACAACTTTCTCTCCCATAATTGTCTTAACCTTGATCCTACACAATTCCATATGCTTTTTTAGCACTGTCTACTGATCCTTTCCTCCCAATTCCTTCCCAACCTCTCCTTCTGTCGATCTTACTTGGTTTTGTGCTAGACCCTCTCACCTTTGGTTTTTGCTGTAGCTCTCATAGACAACATATCCTTGTGATCATGGAACTCAGAAAGTCCTTTGTGTCTCACTGTTCCCAGACAATAACTGGTAGGGAGCCAGCTGAGTGTGGGCAGGTCCAAGTGGAAGGAGCAGAAAGGGAGGCGCCTGTAGGAAGGGAGTGTGCTCTGCTGCCTTCAGGAAGAGAAGTTACTTTCAGAGGGACAGTTGAGGAAGGCAGGTCCTGTTTGTGTCCTCATTAAACGAGCAGTGACTTTTCAAAACACTTATTAAAGTCCTGAGTCTAGTTATTTTCCAAATTTTCATCAGTCCTGACTACAAACCTGTGAAGTAGTTGTTATCTCCACTTCATTAATGAAGAAGTAAGTTGCAGAAAGTTTCAGGCAGAGATACGATATGGCAAAAATAATAAAAATCTCACCATCTCAATCCTTAAGCCTTGAATTCCAGTTTCAGCAAATTTCATTTCCACGTGGCGTCCAGGGCAGGGCAGAAACAATTCCTGGACATTAACATGAGTCTTGATAAAGCCCTAGGCTCTCAGAGAGCATGGTAATGATTTCCAAACTCTGCTGAACTTAGGAATCTCTGAGGCATTTTTAAATGCCACCTTGAGGCATTCTGCCTCAGTTAGTGTTGGGTAAGACCTGAGTGCTGAGTATATTAAGAGTTTCCCAGTGACTCTAATATGCAGCAAAATTTGAGAACCACTGAATTATAGTATACATTGGACACCTACATGGAAAATTAGTAGATAAGGGCTTAAGTAAAATAGTGACTCAGGTATTGAGACAATAGAATTATTTTTGTTGCCAAAATCTTACAGTCTTTGATATAGGAATGGGAAAATGGACTTAATTTTGCTCTTTCTTGCTCTGAAATGATTTGTCCTTTGGAAAGACAGCTACACAGTCTCCTTTGTATGTATCTGTATATGTCTTTCTAATTGTCATGTAGAAGCTCTTTGGGGGTTAAAATTTGTCTGGGAGACAGTCCTGGAAAAGTCTTCAAAGAATGTGTCTCTTTCTATGCAATAAAAATAAAAGCATAATTCCAGACCATGAAGATGAACATGCAGGAGGTTTTTATTTACTTTCCCAAAATTTTCACTCTGGCTGTCCTTTCACAATTCAAACTGTCCTGTTTTAGTATGTGCTGCAAAAATGCCACAAAGATATAAGTGCATAATTAATTGTTTGTGAAATTTTCAATTAACAAATTTTGATTTGCACACCTTACAAAAGCATTTCTGTTGGATAAAAAGAACTCTATCTATGTATTGTCACAAGTTCACTGCTTCCTGCCAGGATTTCCAAGTTGCTAAAATATAGATGTGATACTAAGTTTACAGGCAAGGAATCAACTCTTGTTACAAAATTTATCCTCAACTAATGCAACTAGGCCTATCTCTTATTTCAGAGTATTACCCTTTCGCAATAGAGTTGAGGCTGGGTTTAAATGTTTTATAGTGCTGGCAGCCAAATGGAGAAAACATTTGTAATGCCTAAAACTAACCAAAGATTAACACCTACAGATAAGGAATTCCTTCTTTCAGTGGTTCAGTTCAGTCGCTTAGTCATGTCCGACTCTTTGAAACCCCATGGACTGCAGCTCGCCAGGCTTCCCTGTCCATTCCCAACTCCCGGAGCTTGCTCAAACTCATGTCCATCAAGTCGATGATTCCATCCAACCATCTCATCCTCAATCATCCCCTTCTCCTCCTGTCTTCAATCTTTCCCAGCATCAGGGTCTTTTCCAAGAAGTCAGTTCTTCGCATCAGGTGGCCAAAGTATTGGAGTTTCAGCTTCAGCATCAGTCCTTCCAAGGTATATTCAGGACTGATTCCTTTATATCAACAATAAAAAGACACAAACACTCCAGAGGAGAAAAGATTGTCAAGAGTTATGAGAAGTCAATTTCAGAAGAGGAAGTCAATGCTTAACTGTGTTGGTAATCTAATAAATGGAAATTAAATAAATGAAGTGAAATCATTCAGTCGTATCTGACTCTTTGTGACCAATGGACTGTAGTTGGTCCAGCTCCTATAGAATTTTCCAGGCAAGATACTGGACTGGGTTGTAATTTCCTGACCCAGGGATCGAACCTGGGTCTCCCACATTTCAGGCAGACTCCTTACCATCTGAGCCACCAGGGGAAAGCCTTAGGTAGTTAGCCTACAATTGGTGAGGTGTTCCAAAATGGTGGCTTCTTCTCTCTCATTGTGTGGGTTCTGCGTCATGGTCCAGAAGGCTGCCCTGTCACAACTTTCCAGTCTGCAGTCCAGCCAGCCAGCAGGGAGAAGACAGGCAGGGAAGGGGCACGCACTGCCTTCTGAGGACACGTCCCAAAGTCTGGCACACTATTTCCGGTTATATCTCATCAGCAATAGCTTGGTCAGACCCAACTGCAAGGGACACTGGGAAACTTAGGGTTTATTCTGGGTGGGCATGTGCCGAGCTAAAATTCTGGCTCCCTCTTACTACAAGAGAAGAAGAGGAGAAACACTGGAAGGACTTTCCTGATGGTTCCGTGGTTAAGACTCCATGCTTACAATGCAGGGAGCACGGGTTTAATTCCTAGTGGGGAAACTAATATCCCACATGCCACCTAATGTGAGCCAAACACCAAACAAAAAACACTGGATGGCCACCTTGCCTTCAGGCAAATGTCGTTCTGTAAAATGTTAATGAGTGAACTTCAAGAAAAAGTTTCACGATCTCAAGTTAGAGGAAACACTGTTCATTATATCCCTTCCTCTGTAGTCATGAGATTCACAGAGCGTGAGCTTCTGAGAAGCTCAGCATTAGGGAAGCTTGACTAGTTTCATTTGATTCAAGATTTTTCAAATTGATTTGAGCTTGGAGCTTTATTTGAGGGACACTACTATTAACAGTCAAAGGAACAGGGTTCTGTGAAAGATCACTTGGGGAAAAGTGCATGGGATGAGGAGACATAGATGGCAAGCTAGGAGCCAGGCATCTGAGTGGTAACAAAGGAAATAATAAGCCAAAGGGAAATGTAACCTAAATAGACCCAATATTTTAGATTAGGGAGATTGCCCTCCCTTGTATAGCAATAATCCAAGCTCCATGCTTCATCAATATTAGAACTCTAGTTCCCTTCTGCAACTGTTCAAGATCTCTGGGGAGCGCTTTAGTCTCGTGTGCAAAACAGATGCTCCGGTTTTCCTCTTGGTTCATTCCTGGCTTCTCAAAATGCTTCTCCATGGGGCTGCAGCTGTTTCTGGCCTGTTTCACCCTTCTCCCAAAGCCTGGACACAGACCTGCCCTATATTCACTAATACACACAAAACACAAGGATATGTAGTTTAACACACTTCCTGAACATTTTTAATTACAAAAGAGAAAAAATACCTTAACCCTGATTCGTACATCTGCTAGTCCTGCCATCCATCATCAGGCCCTTCACCAGGTGTCCTTTTCAAATTGTCCTTTTTCTTGGCGACTCTGATATGGGGTGTGCTTAGTCCCCTCATCATTCCATACTTTATATGTCCTCTTCCTCAAGTGCTGGGCCTCCATGCCTATTCACAGCAGTGACCACAGAGTTTCAAAGGAGCTCGGCCTGAGGGGTGCTTATTACTCCATAAGAAGAGGCAAGGGGCCCCCTTGAAGATGTATCATCTGAGAACTTTACCATAAAACTGAGGAAACACAAATTGCCCATGCCAAAGAACGGGAATGGAAGGAAGGTGGGGAGCATATTGTGGAAGGGGATGACCTCACAGTCAGTCCTCAACTACTCCTTAATCTATCACTTCCTGGCTCCCACAGATTAAAAAAAAAAAAGAGGTGCAGGTGGTGGTTTCTAAGTGAAACCCATCAGAGTCCCTTGGCTACTGATGAAAAATACAGAAACCTGGGCTTTACCCTAGACCCATAGAATCAAAATCTCTGGAGGTGAGGCCCTGGATTCTGCATGTGTAATTAGTAGCCCATCTCTGATGATTATAATGCTCCCTGATATTTAAGGATCACCACATTAGATGAGCCTCGAGTTGGTAAATAGCATCATAATTTGTAGAGTGGCACCCACCCCACAATTAAGCTGAGTTTTCCATTATGATGTGGATTACTCAACACCCTAATAGGAAACCATGATGTCTAGGTCACTTTTCCTTGTTCAGAGCTTCCACAAGGCACAGGGTATGCACTTGTCTCACATCACACGACTCAGCCAGCTCCTCAGAATGCTTCTTCCCTGGTAAGACCTATGTCACAAACAGACCACTGGAGGAAAAAGGATTCGTCTGTATTTCTCAGTTAGAGGCCTTAACTACTCGTGTTCAAGACAGTTCATAGGGATCCTAGAGATAAACTGGAGAGATCTGAGTTCTACCAGGGAGGGAGAGTCCAGGGTCAGGCAGGGAGGAAGGGAGTAGTAAGAACATGTGTGTGTGCCTTGGAAGTGGGGATGACTGGCGGAGAAAGAGTTGTGAATACCTTGAATTTAGGAAGCTTGCTTAAAGCAGAAAGTATTCCTCACCCCTACCCTCCACCATTATCTAGCTCTCTCTCCCTATTTCTTCATCACCCAGATGTCCACCTTTTAGCACTACTCTTAAGACAGAAGGTGGGAAGTACTTCTGAGTTGAGATCTGTTTTCTTTCTTCACTGTTCATTTTCACCAAGCAGCCCTCCCAAACCATTTTCACCTACTACTCTGATATGGACAACAGTCAGATGATAGATAGCTCAAGCTTCTTTCTAACCTTGGAAGTGGAGCTTGCAATTTCTGCTGGTTCCCACAAACTCTCAGGAATTTGACATAAGCCCACCTATCAAGCAATATCTCTTGACTGCCAAGCAAAGGGTGTGGGACTTTATCTGTTCCTCCAGGAATTTTATGAATTAACCACTTTCATCTTATCCTTGAGTGCCATACAAAGCTTTCCTCCCAGCTTCCTGTAAACAACTTAGCAGTAGTGACTACTATGTGGTGTGGCAAAGAATGTATTTGGCTTTCTCTCCCCCATGCAGTGTGCTTCTGGAGAGCCAGAACAATGTAC